ATCTCGCGGTTCGGATCAGAACGGACTCACTGATCGGGTCGGATTTTAACAGCCCAACCTGTGGCCCGATCCGTGAATTACAATTCAATTTTTTTGAATTCGTCATCGATCCGTGGATGTAACAATCTGATCCGATCCGCACGGATTGGATCAGATTCACGATTTTACAATTTTTTTTTCTTAGTTGGTACTCACACACCTATGCCTCCACTAAGACTTAAATCTTTGATCTCCCTTTGAGAAATAGGGGCTTAGTACCGCTATCACTAAAAAAGTTAAACGAAAAAGCAATCAGTAGTGATGATGCACGGTGACTTTTTATTACTACCCTTTTACGAGATTTTAATTAATAATTTTTAGAAGAGAAATTATTACATGGTACTAAGATAAGTGTCGATCAACACTTGACATAATAATAAATTAGTCAGTTTTATTCAACTTTTTACTAATAACCACATAATAATTTCTCAAAAGTCAAAACTATTACCGTTCACAAATAAACTTTTATCAAATAAAAAAAATAGTCGTGTGTTATTTTTTCTTTGGAAGTTGAAGCAATTACGCACACACTTTACCTCCACTAAGGTATGAACCTCCGACCTTCCTTTGGAAAGAAAGGGATGATACCGCTGGACCAATTGATCCTTTGGTTTGTGTGCTATTATTGTTAATGTGTATGAGTGCATGCAGAAATTAGGTTTTAATGTAATTTAACCTCTAAGATGCAAATTGGTACATCTTCGCCCTGTAAGAGTGGAAGGCCGAGGATTGTTCTTAAATTAAGTGCCACATGTGCCAATTAATGCACTGGCCTTATTTGCAAATAAGTGATAAAAAAATAAAATAAAATAAAGAATGGATTTGGTATTTTGAAATTTTATTTTATAGGTCTTTTAATTTTTAAATTAACAATTATATATATATATATAATTTATCCTAAAATATATTATAAAAGAGCTTGAAACTAGTTATACCCAATCTAATAATTCGTGCACACAAATCCCAATATGTCTATATAAACCCCAAAACACTTCAAATTCCTTCCTGGAGGGTAGTAGTTTCTTGGATCATTCAAATTGCCATTGACCATAGTATTGGGATTGCTTTCTTAGCTTTTAAATGAGCCTTGTGATCCCTAAAATCTCTCGATTTAATTAAATTAAAATATAAAATGTTTGTGTTCTGTTAACAAATGCGGTTAAATAATCGCAAAGATAAAAATAGAAAACGCACTTAAATAATTGATGGTTGGTCTTTCAAGTATTATGATATAATTATAACTTAATTGTTTTGAGCATCGAATATCATGAAATGGCTTTGCCCACCCAACATGTTTAGTAATATTACAAAGAGTAAATTACACTCACTTTTTTTAAAGTTTCATTAATACACATTGACCTCTCCTTTTATTTATTAAATTACATTAAACTCCCTATCAGATTTGTCGAATTTGTAATTACGTTTTTGTCCTTATACATATTATATTTTATTATAATAAACATGTCTTCTAATGATAGAATTGGAATTTAAAAGTTACAAAATTATTGACATTACTAATTTTTGTCATTGACGGTGTTAACAATATATATATATATATATATATATTCAAGAGAGAGAGATGTAATTTGGAAAATAAAATGAAAGTTAAATATATACCGAAGAATCCTCAGGAAAGGTGAGTGGAATTTATACGACTACGGATTATAAAATAATCCTCTTGTTGTCGCCTTGTCGGTCCATGCATCATCTCAAGTTTTTCTCAACAATATCTATATAGGAAAGAGAAAATAAAGCTTATTCTCACAAACAATCTAAATAACTTTTACTTATTTATTTTATCAATAAGTATTTACAAACATATTGTTCACGTTCGACTCGAACTTAAATTACATAAAGCGGGAGTGTGAGCGAGAGCAAATTCAAGAACGGAAGAATTAAGTCGTAAATAATCAAAAAACGCCTAGAGCATGAGAGCAGGAACGCGTTCGGAGCGTGAGAGCGACACCAGTTGAAAAAGATTGTGTAACTTATGCTCAAACCCCTCTTTTCTTTTTTCTCCTTTTATACTCCTCTCTTTTTTCTTTTTCTTTTTTCCCTTTTATATTGCTTTTACAAGAATAAAAAGTGCGATGACCAAGTTTTACTTTCCAAGACAAATTATATATATATATATATATATATGATTTTATCAATTGCAAATATAAAAAGAGAAAACCACAATTTGCTTTTAGAATTCAATTTAGTGTCATCATCTTTACTTTTTAATATATTTAAAATGGCGTTATTAATAATTTAAATTTTTAAATAAATAAACAAATACCCATCCTTACACAAGACATAAACAAGTTTTAACTTTCAAAACAAATTATATATATATATATATATATATATATATATATCAATTCCAAATATAAAAAGAGAAAACGACATTTGCTTTTAGAATTCAATTTAGTGTCATCTTCTATACTTTTTAATATATTTAAAATGGCGTTATTAATAAAGAAAAGAAAAAAAGTCGACGTGTCTACACATCATTTTGAGAAGTCATCTCTTTGGAGTTGGAGGCTCAGCATCATATCACATTATATAAGAGGTACGGCTTATGGTCCTCACCGCGTTTCCAACCCTACCCCTCTCCCTCCCTCTCTCTCTCTCTCTCTCTCTACCCTTATGAACGCGTACCAAGCGGGCATGACCTATTTATACACGTAAGCAACTTTGTTTGCAACAAACCTCTCAATAACAAATAATTATTTGGGTAAAATAAAGTCACACTTCTTGAGATTTGACAAAAAGACATTCAGAGAAAATTTACTTATTTTTTGGATAAAAATACTCCCTAAAAATTCAAAAATAGACAAAAACACCCCCTTTACATGAGAAATTAACCAAATTACCCTTTAACCATTTAAGAGACTTTTTTAACTTTACAATTTAATAAAATTAGACTAATCTACCCTCATGAACAATTTATGCAAAAAAAAAAAAAAACTTTATATTGTTCGCTTCTTTTTTTTTTTTTTTTACTTTATAAATGTCTCAACTTCTTAAAAATGTAGACGTCTAAAATGATTTTTTGTTCCAATACATATATTTCAAATAAATTATATTTTGTTATTACTTTTTTTCTTTTTCTTTTTTATTTTTAAATTAAGATGCTTAATTCTTTTATCAAAAAAAATTAAACCAATCTTTTTTCCTTAAAAATAAAAAATATGGTACCAGTATAACTTTATGTATATTAAATTATATATAAAATATTATGTATTTCTAAACATAAAAGGGAAATAATAATAATAATAATAAAACAAAGGGAAAAAAAAATAATAAAACAAAGAGAAAAAAAAAAAAAAAAAAAAAAAAACAAAGGCATGCATAAGTTAAGATGCATAAAGTTCTACTGATATCTATTTTCTTTTATGTTAGGAAATACATAATATTCGATACATAATTTAAGATGCATAAAGTTATAGTGGTACTATATTTTTTATTTTTAAGGAAAAGAGATTGGTTTAATTTCTTTAGATGAAAGAATTAATCATCTTAAATTTAAAATAAAAAAGAAAAAGAAAAGAAGTAGCAACAAAATATAATTTATTTGAAATATATGTATTAAATCAAAAAATCATTTTAGACGTCTATATTTTTAAGAAGTTGGGACATTTATAAAGTAAATAACATAAAAAAAAAAAAAAAAAGTGAACAATATAAAGTTTTTTTTTATGCATAAATTATTCATGAGGGTAAATTAGTCCAATTTATTAAATTATAAAGTTAAAAAAGTCTCCTAAACAGTCAAAGGGTAATTTTGTCAATTTTTCATGTAAATGAGTGTCTTTGTCCATTTTTAAACCTTCGGGGGGTGTTTTTGTATCAAAAAAATAAGTAAGTTTCATCTGAGTGTCCTTTTGCCAAATCTCAGTGGGTGTGACTGTACTTAACCCTTATTATTATTAGCTTTTTAAAGGATGTTTTGCAAGGTCAATCATTGTTTTTGTTCTACTGTGATTGATTTGAAAATAAAAAAAATGTTAAGTAATTAAATTTGTTACACAATGTGTTACGATATAAAAATAATAATAATACTATTACATAATTTCATTAAAACACAACGAGTCTAATGTAATTTGTAATATAATTTTTTTTTAAGTACTTAAAGCATTGAACTAATAGCACATACCTCGAATATTGTACATCGAAATTGTCACACTATAAATTTGTGGGGTCACCACTTTTCTCAAATCATTGTCCTTATAAAACGTTAATAAATTATGAGCCATTAATAATGAATACCACAATGGCCAAAGACAATAGGAAAATGTTTCCCACTATGCTCTTCTTAGTCTTCTAGTGGTCTGATTGATATGTGTATTTTTGTTTATGGTAACACTGAACAGTAGAAAAATCGTACTTGGTATAAAATATTTTTATTTTGTACAAAAAATTGAAACACTAATTTAGTGTTTTTTAACAATGAATAGTAAATAGTTTTTTTTTTTTTTTTTTTGAAAAACTCTTAAATGACTTTTATAAACTAATCATTATATTTTCTAAAATTAAACACTTTTTACCAAATATGTTTTATGTAACAAATGCACGTTACCAAACATGCTTTCGATCATTATTCAAAGTACCATACAATAAAACACTTGTTATGTTTCATATCCAAAATAAAACGCATACCAAACATGCCCTTAATGTTCAATTTAGCAAACGTTTTGAAGTTATCAAAAATCATTTTCTATATACTTTTTTCCATCATACCAGTTTAAACTCACCATTAAGAGGTGTAAAATTAACCATTCAAGTTATCGAGATTTGGAAGGTGATATGCATCAACAAGACTTTCAAGGTTTAGCTTAGCTTAGCTTAAGCTTTGCTTGCTTGATTGGGCAATATTATTATTTTTTTTCCCGACAAACTAGGGAAAGAGGGAACTCGAACACCGTCACACTTATTCGGTGAGTTGAGCACTCCAGCCGAAAATTGCACTAGGAAAATTGAGCAATCCTGACCAAGTCAACAGTAAAACCAGAGTCTTGCTACAAATAGATTACCGAATCCAATATATATATTACAAAATCATAAGATGAAAGATGCAAAAATAAATAAATAAATAAACACAAAACTGGTTGGCTATGGATACTTCAGTAACTTTCTATAAATCCACAAGTTCAGTAAAACAAATCTATATTTGCATCCCCCTGTGTGCACTGCAGTTGATTTTGCAGTAACCCTAAAATGGCAGGGTTGCTTCTATACATGAATAGAATTTTCGGAATATATTAAAAGATCTTACTATCCTCCAGCTGCCTTCCATATATCCTTTCCGGCTTCATCCGAGTGCATAACTCACTCCCATAATCTTCAAGATCTCCTCCTCAAAACAAAACATCTAACTTTTGCAGTTCGCTATGTTTTTGTATTGGGAGCTACTATCTCTGAACGTGTGGCGAAATTTTGCAGGAAATTGATCAAATGCAACAACATCCTAAAGGTTTTAGGTACTATTTGATAATTCATCACCTGATTCTTGCAAACACTCGTGTGGGTTGGCGTAGAAATAATCCTCTTCTTTAGGTCTGTCCGGAATCACCAACCGTCTAGTAGCGCTCCCCATGCGTTCTGCATGGGATTCCTTAACAGCAGATGAGAACTCATCCCAACTCAGAGATCCACTATTATATTGGTCTATCAAATCAACTAAAAACCTTCTGTCTAATAGAATGGTCTTCTTGAACCCGAGGTATCTAAAAAAGCATTGGAAAACAATAATTATTAATTCCAGAAAAAATGATATGATTTAACAAATAAATACATAACTAACAAATCCAGGAAACATCGTAACTGCGATAACTCAGAAACAAAAGTACAATGGAGCAAAACCGATAAACTGAACCAAAACGACAGAACCTTTCTAGGTTAATTTTAAAATCTTTGCCACAAGGCAATGAGTAAACTTCATACGTAAATTCAGAATGAAAGCAATCACAGATTTAAAGATAATTATGTCGTCCAGATGAATGTAATGTAGTGTTTTGGATGGTCCACCGAGCTTTGGGTAAGGTGGAATTTGAGTCCTAGTTGGCTGAGAGGCTTATATAAATACATACATATATCTATGGAAACATTCATAGATAAATGTTTATATTTACAAACATTTATGTGTCTTTGTGCGTCCTTATAATAGAATATAGTAGTGAAGATTTATAAAGAATAAATGCGATTTCAAGCCATTTTGCTGAAAACTGCAAAAAAAAAAAAAGCTCATAAATCAGATTTTAGCATGTTGCAGCCCTAATCAGAACATTAATCAAATCAGTACTTGTAGCAATTGGATTTTCTACTCTGCTATATCAAAATTCTACTTGTTTCGCGGTTAAAGTTCGCCAATTATTAAAATTTATGACGAAGTCTAAGCAATAAACAGCGCTAAAGGATCTAAATTATGTGTAAGAACATACAGGTGTTAAAATCCAATATCCTTTTCAAAAGCTAAAAGGTCATCTTCATCAGTTAAGAAATTAAGATATATCATTTGACATTATTTATAATAATGACTAAATTAAGCTGTACCTGCGATGGCCTTCAACAACTTTGGCCATGTTTCCATCATAAGTAGGAACAAAAATATCACTCTTCAGTGAGACAAGATAATCCAAAGCTGCCATTTGCGATGAGTGATTTTGGAAAAATCTAAGATCAGATGGTTCCAGCAGTGTCTCTTTTCTGACCTGTTACAAAATCCAAAAAGCAACAGTAAGAACAAGACAACGGATGGTAGCCAAGAATCAAAACTCTGAAGAGTCAACAAACCAGCTTTGGGTAAGCTGCTGCAAGACTAGCCATTCTCCTGTCTCCACCATATATTTCTCCAGCCGCAATGTAAATCTGGATGTCACGATCAATGTCCAGTGCCCTTAGTGTAAGAGCAGTTTCCTCAGGTGTCAAAGGGCATAAACCATCTTTCCTCTTCAAATCAGAATTTATGATTTTCTCTTTCCACCAGGGGTAAGCATATCTGCAAAGATAGGAAAGGTCAGCATAAGGATAGATAAAATCTATGTTTTTAACTGCCCATTAATATGCTCACCTCATGTTTGTCAACTCGTCCACCTCCTCACTGTTGCAGCCTTGAGTACAGCCAGAAAAGGCTAACATGTCCATTTCATATCTAAGATGAAGTACTAGAAAAGGACCATTTTGCCTTAGTAGCCTGATAACCCTTCTACCCAACTCCTCTATCTGAGAAGTGAATCTCAGAGCATCAAAATTCACTCGGCAGCGCAACTTCTGAATCTCCATGGGCTGACCATTATTGGCAAGCCGAGCATCCGTTCTATTTAAATGCACAACTTTGTACTTCTGTATCAGAGGAAGTATCTGCATGCAACAAATGAGAGCACCACTGCTTTGAGAAAAGGAGTCACCTATTGAAGAAGAATTTAAACCAATATAATTAAAAAATTACTGACCTGATTATGATAGTAAGATATGTCAGACCAACTGATGGGAGGCATGGTATAAATCATGCCTAACTCCACTCGCACCTTAAGCTTAGGAGGCAGCTCTTTCAATACCCGAACCTCATCTCTTAAGGAAGTAATGAAATGATCCACATCAAATATGTCTCGAAATTCACTGCAATATCAAGGAATGAATTCATGGTGACATGAAGACATACAGAGCTAATTAATTCAATAGAAAAAAAATACTCATCCAGATTTTCAGAAGTTGCAAAAGTTCTATAATTTTAAAGATATATAAGAAAAAAAAAAAAAAAAAAAAAAAAAACTGACACACCTCGGATCAGCCCAGAATGAAGTTTTATCCAGCTCAGGAACGATAAGTGTGACATTTAAATATCTTGCAATCGCAACCATGTCGCAAATCTGAACAGCAAATCGATAATTGAAAGTGATCAGCTATTACATGTACTAATGACAAAATTAAGTAGTCGGATAAACCAGAAAGAAATGACATGCCTAAGCCTGGTCCACCAAGAAAAACCACTCACCGCTGCCCGCATTTGATTAAGCCCTCCATTGCACGAAACCATCAGGTAACCATTGTTCTTATAAACCCCTAATGGCAACACAAAAAATTGAACGAAAAGTAAGACGACAAATTAGCCAAACAGAAGTTTCATATAGGCAAACAGAGTTGCATATTCATGAACAATCAATTTAATAAAAAACAATGTACTTAGGATCTTCTCTCCTCATTAACAAACCATATAGGAAAATCACTATCCGTCCCTTTCTTTTCTTTTCTTGTCCTTCCAATTCCATCAATCTAAACGAAGCCTAAAGGTTCACACAGTTGCAACAATTACATAACTAGTCATGTAGTTTTTCTGAACAGAGACTGTATTTTACTATTTTTCTCTACATCTACTCACAATCGACTCACAAATTATTAGTATCAGAAAAACTATGAATTTTTCATAAATGATTCACAAAGTTCAATAATATAATCTGAAGATTGAATAAGTACAACATATATACAGACATATATATATATATATATATATATATATATATATAAAGGATATTAACTCACTCTTGGGTGGAAGAACTCTTGCCGGAACTGCCGGTGAGTACTTGACCGCCAAAGCTTCGGAATCATGAGAGAAACAAGAAGGCCAGCCCTTCAACACCCTAGGACCCCATAATTCTCCCAATGCAGTTAACTGAACCAAACAAGTCCACAACAACACCGTTGTGGTTGCCCTAATCATCCAAAGCTTCATTCGAGACCGTGAAACCATTGAACTCCTCAGCTTCTCTACTCTAATCTCTCCCAACGACTTCAATCCCATCCCCCAACTCCCCTTTCTCTCTCTCTCCTCACTCCTTTCTCTCTCTACCTTGCACATACCGATCCCCTCCCCCCATGCATTCACACGCAAACCCTAGTCTTCTACCACATCTGATCACACCAATCAATTGCAGACTCGAATTAATTCACCTTCAACTAAAAATGCACAAAAAATCACCCGAATTATAATCAATGCACGATCGAAATAGTATCGAAAACAACCTAAATTGACACGAATTGATCGAATCAAGCTTCACTTTTCGATTTGCTTTGAATTACGAGAATATTCAACCTGTAATTGCTAAATATAGGAATGGTCAAATCCAAATCTCACGACACCTGAACCAACATTGCAGGTCAAAAATTCCTATCAGAAAATGCATAAAAACAAAAACAAAAAAATGACTTTTTTTCGCTTTCACCCGAAGATCCCTTCCTGAAACAACACACAAAACCCTAATTTTCGCACACATTAACGAAAGCTTCAATGGAGAGCTTTGATCTTTAGCGATCAACAGACACTATAGGAAATTTTAACCCCTTTTTCACACGAAAAAATGGATAAGAAAAGTTCGATTTCAGAAGCGATTTGAATTGCAACAATCTGAACGTTGTTTCTGGGTAATCTGACGTATTTCCGGCGGGAAATGGTATGGAGTCGCCGGAATCTGACGGCTGACGGCAGGCCAACACGGAAAGGAATACAAATAGAGAGAGGAGAGAGAGACAGAGAATGATAAGAACACCGCGTCGTGAGTGCACGAAAGAACGAGTAGTGGTACAACACTTGATCGCTTCTTAACCATGATCTAGTTACCGAGCTATTATCTGCTGTTCGACGGTCCACCTTACTATCATGGTGGCGCAAAAAATGATATTGTTAATAAAAATGATATTTTGGTTGTCTTAGTTTCAAAAAATAAAAATAAAAAATTTATTAAAAGAAAATGAAAAATGATTCTTATACGGAATAGTTGAAGTGAATTGTTAGGCTTACTCTTTTAATTGATTAATTATGTAACAAATAAGGGAATGCAACATTCCACTTAACTATGTTTAGTTTAAAAAATTAATTAAAAATTATTTGGTTAGGTTATTCATTATGAGTGTTTGGTGTGAAATTATGTAATTCACTGCACGTGTTTAGTATGAGTATCACTATTCAAAGAAGAATAGGATTATTGATGTGTGATTTTCATTCACACAACTGCCACAATATTTTACATTAAAATGTTGCATAAATATCTATTAAGTGTATTGGTTTTAATTTTTAAAGTAAAGTTTGATTTTTTTTACGATACTCTTATAAGTTTAATTGAGAAATTTCTTGGATTGAAAAAAAAAAGTTCAAATTTGATTAATTTTGTTTAACTTCTACAATATAAAACTACTAAACAAGAGAAAATTCACAAAATAAAAATAAAAATAAAAATAAATCAAAAATCTAAATATGTATACTTTATTTATAATGTATTTTGATTTATTTGTGTTTCCTTGAGGACTAAATTGTCAATATATTTCAATAGCATATCAAATTTTTATTAATTATATATCCATTTTTTAAAATAGAATAAAATATTTATATTATTGAGGTTAGGAAATGCCTATCATTTTCTTCATTGGCATTTATTAGAAGAAACAAAAATACATACATGATGTGATTGATGATCATATAAAGTAGATATAATAGTCTCATTCAGTGTGAGTCTGAGAGTGCCCACATCCGATAATTACTCATGCAAACTATAGTTGCGTTTATACTCTGAAGCAGTGACAGCTAAAGGAAATCCAAAACGGGACCCACAGATATAATGATCTCGTGAGACGTGTCATCTATCAAACCGTCGGAACCGGACACGTGGCATCAAGACCGAACACCGACTCGACGGAAAAAATGATAAACCCCACTCCGTGAGATCCGAGGTCCATTCAAATCTGGTTGTCGCCGACAATATCTCGCGATAAAATGCGATAATTTCGCCGGCAATAGCCGATATTCGAAACGGTTTAATATATCGTGTTGGAGATATCGGTGATAAGACGAGTGGCAAGTGACAACTGGTTAATAGAGTGTTTTCTTGTTCGGTGGTAGACTCCGTTAGTGTGTCGGTGGCGCCGTTATGCACGACAGAGCGAGGGAGGGTTTGTCATTTGTCAGAACGGTCGACTGATGTGAAGCGTCTGATTGGACTATGGAACTTGTGGACGGATGAGATGTCGTACTCTTGGATGCTTTCAGACCTAAATTATACGTAAATTAATATTGCTTAAGTAAACGGTGAAATTCAGTGATTTGCATATCGAAAGTTTGAAAAAAAATTATACCTTCCCAAACAAAAAAATAAAGTACTACTACATCGTACCTGTCACATTTCTAAATTTAAATATAGGGACTTTTATATACTTATGAAATAATTTCACTGACGCCCTTTAAATTTGATCAAATATCACTCTTAAGTATTTTTTAAAACTAAATATCACTTTTAAGTATTTTTCGAAATTAACTATTACTCACATTATAAACGTTTGTTCTATTTTTCACTCACACCTTAAAAATTAGTTGACAGGTGTGTCAAATTACTTTTTACATGTAAAAAGATATTTTTATCACTTGACTTTAGTTTACCCACGGTATTATTTCTTTAATGATTAGAATGACATGTTTACCCTCATTTGACTAACTAACTTAATTATTAAAGTATTAAAATGACATATTCACCCTTACTTTCTCATTGATATTTTCACAATCCTTTTTATGAAATTATACAACGTTCGTGCCAATTGTCCAACACACACATATAATTAACCCACAAAATCCATCACTATATATAATTTGGACATTAATTATACTTAAACATGCATATAACTGAAACCCCTCTCATCATGAGCTTCAACACCTAATCCATTGAGAATTGAGATCAACCTTTAAATCAATTTTGTATTTGACTTTCAAAATTAATACGAAAGATGATTATGATAATAAAAATACGTGCAACTTGTGTTTTTTGACTAATTAATTGATCTTATCATTAAAATTTGGTATATATATATACCAATTAATGTAAGTTAATTAATAAGTTTTTTTTTTCTCTATAATTAATATAGTTAGATAATAAGGTTATGTATCGTACATCACCGTCGGAGATGAAGTTTCAAAATCACAATCTGGCAGAACAAGTGACGATGGTGCAATGAACTTCGTAGTCGCAAGAGCAGCGTCACCGCCTCTCTGGCTGTGAAGTTCCACCGCTTCCCAACGTCTTCTCTGTCCTACCCAATCGCGTTTTGCAGATCCACACAACGTACAGAACATTGTTCCATCGCCGATATCGGCTTCGATGGCTCAATTGCAATTTCCCATGCCATCATTTCCACTACCGTACACGTGTTTGCCATCCCCGCGGTTGCCGTATCCGTTTTCTCCATTTTTACATTCGCCAACATCGCGCCCTAATTCCACCATTTTTACATTCTTCACAACCCACACAAATCTGATGGTGATTTTTTTTTTTTTATTTTATCCATTATTGAATTTTTGTGAATTACATTATAAATTAGGGTCCTTGTAATATACACATAAACAGACTCCATGGCCACCGGTGAAAACCTCTTCACTGATACAACCGAAGGCTTCAACCCTCATCTGTTTATCAAGGTGATCTAACCGAGATCCAATCGAGAGAGAAAGTTTAGAGCCTCAACGACATCAACCGAAAAAGCTTCCGATAGACCCAACCAATAATCTCGGTTATGAGATTAGATGTGTGAGACTTTTGGTGTCAAATTAATTTTTTAATCCATTTATAATTATTGTCTATGAAAATATAAGAATCAGTAGAGATTTTATTTATATGTGACTTGTATCCATAGAGAAGAGAGAGACAGTGGTTTCGTATCTTTTGTTAATATGTGGCTTGTAGGGTTGTATCTGTAGAGAAGAGAGAGAGAGAGAGAGAGAGAGAGAGAGACAGAAGCGTCCTTTGAGATGGAGAGAGAGGAGAGAGAAATAGGGGTATAAAAGTTATTTAGGTTATATTTATAATAAATGTGATTAAAAAATTAGGAAAAAAAAAATGTCTTTTTCTATATTTGTAAGTGATAGTTATTTTCAAAAGATATTTGAGGCTGATATTTGGCCAAACTTGAGGGGGTGTCAGTGAAATTAACTCTAAATTTAATTCATGATTTACATATAATATTACACTCACACTTTCTCAAATTAAGTCTAATTATACATGTTAGGTCAAATAAGTGTTTACGGATTACATTAACCACCAGGTCAGTTAAAAATTTGGATTAAATGTCAAGTACCCGGAGTTAGAAATTTTAGCTTGGGGGTTGAATTTGTAATATGTAATTAAAATTTGATTTTTTTTAAAATTAATTGTAATATATGTCAAAAGAACATCGCAGCTGTAAATGTCAAGGTCAAAGTTGCCGCGAAAAGTGGCACGAAGGCTAAGAATCCATCAAGCGATGGAAGCACCTAAAAGAACTAGTCGGAATGGGAGTGATAGGTGCAAATCGTGTCGACTGTTACCCCTGAAAACCTGATGACTCGCCCTTGTGCTTCTTCCTTGGTTGCCCCTTGAAAATAACACCTGCACTCCTACTTTGTCTTCATGACTCATTGTTCATATTTCGATCCTTAGCCTCAGCTTCTACCATTAAGGCTCTCTCAAATACCTTTGTGTACACCTTGATATTCTGTGACATCACTGCTGGCCTTATGTTGTAATGAAGACCAAAAATAAACTTTTGAGTTTTGTTCGATCAACTCATTTCTTATTGAGTCAGGAGCAAAGCGAGAGAGCGAGATAGAGAGAGAGGAAAACTTGCTCTTATACTCTGTTACTGTCATGCTGCCCTGAATAAGGTGATCAAACCTCCTCTATAATTCCCATCTCTTGGTCATCGAAAAATACTTGTCGTAAAACAAGTCCTTGTAAGTATCCCAATCCATTGCTTCAATGTCATACCAATTTGCAACCGATTTCCACCATATCTTGGCATCCTTAGAGAAGTTATAAGTAGCCAAGATGGTCTTCAAGTGATCATTCGGCACACCTATTTTCAATAGATGCTTCTCCAATTGATTGAAACAATTATCCACAATCATAGGGTCAGGACTGCCTTCAAACAACGTAGGCATAACCTTGAATTTTTTTGAAATGAGCTTGAGACGTTTCTCCATTTCAGTCTCTTCTAGTTGAACTTGTAATGTTTTCGATTTTTGTCATTTTCCATTTTCTGGAATATTCTGTTTTTGCAAAGGCACTTTTGTCTCTTCTTATTTTGCGTACCAGATACCGTGGGGTGTGCCGGGTGTGTCTGAGAGTTGGTTGGAGCATTCCATTGAGTTCAAGGCTCTTAGAAGTGCAACGGTCACCATTTCGGCATTTTTTCCATTTTTCGGGCCTGAAAGTCCCGTGTAGGCCCGTTACTGGAATTATCGCGTACGGGGTTTTTATAAGGTTGGATCATTCCATATAACACGAAAGAGTTTTAAATCTTCAAGGAATGCAACATTTGAAATTTAAAGAATGAAATCAAGGCAAAACACAATATCTATGCAATTAGATAAGGTTGGAACATTTCATATAACACGAACAAGTTTTAAATCGTCAAAGAATGCAACACTTGAAATTTAAAGAGTGAAATCAATGACACGAAAATGTTCTTAAGTCTTCAAGAAATTGTGATACCCCTCGATTCTAGAGCCACGGGTGATCAAGTCCGAGTACAGATTCGAGGGATACCAGACAATTA